CTACCCTGCCTGGCGATGCTCTTTTTATAGGTATATTCTTATTTTAGTGCTATAGTGATGGGTGAATGAGTAGATTAAATTAGATTTAGTATCTATCATTCTTTAAAGCATTACAGGCGGTCGTTGCGGGGATGAGGTGTAATTAGGCTCAGCCTCCCTTGTGCTCCCCACACCCACCCCATGGATGCCCCCATGCTGCCCACACCTCACCCTGGTGCCAAGTGGGGGCACTGGGGGTTCCATTCCCACACGCTGGGCAGCTGCACCCTGCAGGACAGCTGTGCCAGGGGGCTGTGGTGTCTGGCATGGGGCAAGCATCTACCCAACAGTTCCCAAATCCCCTGGCAAGCCCCGCTCCCCTGACCGGTGTCTCCGTGCCGAGTTCTGGCTTTGCTGCTCCCACACTTTCCCAGCACACAGCTGGCTCCATCAGCTCCTGCACCCCCAGAGCGCAGCCCCCACCCCACCACCCCCTCGTCCTGTCTGCATCGCGCCGAGCTTAGAAATTGGCTTTGCACAGCATCAGCAGGATTCGCTCCAGCCCCTGTGTAAGCAGCGCTGCTGAGATGCGATCCCTGGCACTGGGAAACGATTACACAGAGTGAGAGGAGCGCTGGAAGGAGACCCGCGTGGAGGAGGGACTCCACAGAGACGGTGTTGGGAGAGTGGTGTGCAGGCAGCCCTGGCCTCAGCGCTGGGGACACGTGGGTGCCACTGCTTGGGGCTGTGGGATGGCTCAGCATCTCGGCCATCCCCTCCATCAGAGCTGCGGAGCTGCTGTGCCCCATCCTGTAATCGCTCCCTCCAATCCTTCACGGTGGGTGCTGGAGCCGGAGCGTGGCTGCGGTGCCAAGCTGGGTGCCACCCCTGTCCCAGCAGCCCATGTTGTGCTGGTGGGCTCACTGCAGGCTCCGCCGGGCAGGCACGAGGCAGGGCTGGCTGCTCGCTCCCCCTTGCCAAAGTGCTGGGCTTGCAGCACTTTGTCATGATTTTCATCTCATCTCCGAGCAGCAATCCTTCACTGCTCGCATTACCCAAGTAGAAAATGACACATAAACTGACATGATTGCTGCTGTTTCTCAGTGCCACGCAACATCTGTTCCCTCAGCGGTGCGGGGGAAGGTGGGCAGGGGCTGTGACGTGCCACGCGGCCCCCCAACTTCTCACCCTTTGCTCCCCTCCTGCCGCCGTGCCTCCTCCAGCCATGCTGCAGCAGAGCTGGGAGCTGAGGGCAGCTGGAAGTGCTGGGGCGTTGCAGGATGGCAGTGGGGAAGCAGCAGGAGGAGCTGCACTTGGCTGCCCATCCCGCACTGTGCTGGGCACGCTGCGTCCCCCCATTGTCCCCGCTGCCTCCTGCACGCAGCCCACAGCTGGGCAGGAGCCTGCAGCAGTGTGTCCTGAACCTTCCAGGCTTTGCAGACCTGTTCTCCAGCAGATTTCTCTCCATCTCTTTCCCAGAGCCCGGTGCTGCTTGCGGGCATCTCTGTGCAGGTGTCTGGCAGTAGGGGCTGCACTGAGCTCTGCCACCCTTCCCTCCTGGTGTCCCCACACCCAGCACAGCGCCGGCCGCAGCCTCCTGCAGGCTCCTGTCTGAAATCAAAAATAGGGAGAGAAGAGTGAGAGGCAGGCGACGGTGGCAGCTTATTTGTGATCTGCATTGTGTGGGGAGCTCTTAATTAGAGCTAATTAGGCTAATTAACTTGCAAATGAGAAACTCGTCTTTTTCTCCTTTTCTTTTACAAGAGAAAAAAAAAATAAAAAGCTGAACAACAAGACCGATACCGAGGCTGCTCTGTACCTGCTGCAGAGCCCCTTTGGCTCGCAGGATGCCCACCTGGTTCCTCCCTGTGACCCCCAGCACCAGGACCAGGGTGCACCCTGTGCCCGCTCCTCCCTCACACGTCTCCAGTCTCCTCCCCTCTCTCTGTGCTGCAACACCCCAGGGGCTTTGTTAGCACAACTCGGTTCAAATGTCTGATTAGTCTTTAGGAGATCGAGGGGTCAATTTTCCACAGCTCCTTCCTCTCCATTTAACTAATTTAACTGCACGATTGTTACAAATTTCATTTTATTATAGCCCTGCTTCTCAGTCCAATTGAATTACCAAAATCTCATTTTCTCAGAAGTGCTGAATATGTAATTAGAGGAAAAATTATGCTCCTGACTGCCTATTAGAGAGGTTCGTGTGTGAGCCCAGCTCTGTGCACACGCGCGTACGTGGCTGCTGAGCACCCACGAGCGTGCATGTGGGGAAGTGCTGTATGCAGCTGTGCCAGAGCCTGTGGTGGTGGATGGCAGTGGTGGGCTCTGCCAGGGGATGTGGCTGCATCCAGAGCCCACGAGGGCACTGTCACTGTCTGGTTTTGGGATGCAGGGCTCCCTGTGCTGGACACTGAGCACTGTGGGTAAGGCAGAGCAGGGCTGCATGGCTCGCAGGCTGCTGCCCACACTGCAAGAGCAGGCAGAAAAACAGAGCTAAGGAATGCCCCAGGGCAGGAATGCCTGCAGGGGCTCAGCAGGAGCAGGTAGCTCGGGTGGGCACTGCTGGGGATGTGGCTCCTTTCCTATCCCATCTCCATGCTTGACACAGCCATGCTTGTGTCTCTTCTGTGACCAGCTGCCGAGGCCCTTTGGTGGCTGATACAGAATGAGCACTCCTGGAAATCCTGGCAGAATGCATGCAAATGCCCGTGTCTGCGCTGCTCCGCCGGGCAGGGCAGGGCTCCACATCCCACACCAACCATCCTGCCACTCGTCGCAGCCCCAGACACACCACATCCTGGCCCATCTCCAGCACAGACACAGCACAGTCCTTCCCTGCGCAGGTCTGTGTGAGTCCAGGAAATGTCCCAGGCACACGGGGGGGTGGGAGGTGGCGGCGTCCTGGAGCCCCCACGAAGCACCCCCGTCTCGCCTCAGTTACACAACATTATCATTTCATAATACTCTGAAATATACATGAAGTTGGCTGAATGCAGATGAAATTGCACCATTTACTTCATGAATATTTCATGCAGCCTCAGCTCCGAAGTTTCCGGCTGATGGAGGCAGGAGCCCATGCTGGACCCCGTCCCTCCCAGCCCCACCAGTCCCATGCTGGAGGTGACAGTGATACACACACAGCCAGAGCAGCTCCGGGTGCCACCAGCCAATGGTGCCACCCATCTCCCAGCCCACAGCATTCTGCAGGAGGGCATCCCCAGGGCCGCTCACTGGAGCTGCACTCTGTCCCCTCCTGCTCCTGCACTGCGCTGCTCCGGCTGAGCTTTGTGTCACGAGGGGTCCCTTCCTGCAGCCCTGCATCCTCTCTGCAGAGCTCCCAGTTGAGCATCCCTGGCAGATGCCATTAACGGGCTCTTCATCCCTCCCCTGCCACATCCTTAATGAAGACATTACGGACGTGGCTGACACCTCCAGCTCCTCGCTTCCTTTCACTTCTCCTTCCCCACTCCTCGTCCTGGAGCACCGTGAGCTGTGCACCAGCACAGCGTGGGCAGGGATTGCCCCCAGCAATGGGACGTCCTCCCCATCAGTCCCCACACGTGGGGCCTCGTGACCCCCCCCCAAGCATGGATCTGCAGCTGTGCTGCCCCAGGGCCAGGAGCACTGCTTTGTATGGATGGCGCAGCATTTTGGGTAATGAAATATTCACAGGTCAGTGATTCCTTGAGAAATGACGGGGATCAGTCAATTCCTTTTCAGGGAGTAATTTTCTTCCCCTTCACGGCCTCTGTTTCATGTTGACAGTCATTAGCATGAGAGAGCAGCTGGATCGAAGAGGGGACGCGTGGCTCTCCGCAGATGGCCGTGCAGGGACCCTCATGGCACCGTGGCTGGGACATTCCCTCTGCTGCAGCCCTGCTTGCACTGCCCTGCTCTGGGGCAGCGGTTGCAGATGCTCTCACTGCATCCCTGCACGCAGGAGCAGAACACTCTGCAGAGGCCACAAGCAGCCTCACCCTTTCCCAGGCTGCTCCCCAGCCCCAGCATTGCGCAGGTGGGCGCAGCGCTCGCTGCCTCTGCATAACTGCAGCTCTGTTGCAGCTGCCCCGATGCAGGTGGAGCTGCAGGGAGTCTCGTGCTGGCCGGGACCCCTCCTGCATGCAGAGCATAGGGACGTGCCATGGGTGACTGGTACCCCTCGTTGGCACTGTGCTCAACCAGGTACACCGACGCGTCCTCTGTGTTGGTGGATTCCCGGTGCATTATTTTTCTTAAAAAGGAGAAAAATGTTAAAAATGGCGTCGTCAGCCCCGAGCTGACAGGCACAATCACCAAAGTGCGGCGTCGGCAGGAACCGGCCCCACGCGCTAAATGACTTGAAAGGAAATGGCCTGGATTGTGCTGAGGAGGCAGAGTGCGGTGGGGAGAAAGCAAGTGGAGCAAACAAAAAAACTTCATTAATTAAAGAAACTCGTTAATGAGGGACATTTAATCAGCTAAAGATGATATCCACCCCCTGCCTGCTATGGCGCAGGGATAGCTGGCCTGCTGCGGCAGGGGCTACGGATGGGGACAGGGATGGATATGGGGCAGGAGATGGGGACGGGACAGGGGACGGGGACAGGGATGGGATAGGGCTGTGCTCAGGGAGCCCTGTCCTGCTGGGCAGTGCAGGGAGGTGGCCAGCTCTGCTCATGCCCCAGCGCTGCCTGTTTCGCTCTGCGCTCGGTCTCGGGCACCGCGCTAATCTCCTGTCTCATTTGCTAAATGAGGGCCACGGGCCATTAATAACCAGAACATCTTTTAATGAAAATGCGGAAAGCCGCCCTACAAAGTGCCATGCGGGAGCATCCCCTGCACTCCCGGCAGGGAACTGCGGCTCATGGACACCCGTTGGAGCACAGCATCACCTCTGAGCTCGCCGAGCTGCGAGCACCTGGCTGCAGGGGTTCCCCATCACCTTCACCCCAGGGCTCTGCACAAACCCAGCTGGGTGCTGGCAGTGGCTGTGCCGTGGGGCTCTGCACTGGGCTGGGGTTTCCTGGGCTGCATGCGGCACAGGGAGGGGTGGGCAGTGCGGGGCACGGAACCGAGCAGCAGCAGTCAGCAGGCAGTGCTCAGCCAAACCCCTCACATCCCCATCCCCACCCAGGGCTCTGCCCCACCACTGCCAACCTGCTGGGGGTGGCACGCAGGAGGCATGCAGGAGCCGTAGATCTGTGCCTCTGCAGCACCAGCAGCCCGGAGACAGTGAGCAGCAAAACAGGGGAACCTAATGGTCCCTGAATGAAATAATACTTGGGCAGACAAGCACTGCGACAGCCCTAATTAATAACAGATATGAACGTGGCTGTCAACACGGGCTGGCGAGGAGCCAGCGGGGTCCAAGACTCACGCAGGTGGGGTAGGCACCTGTCCGCATCCCCTGCCCCCACCCCGTGCCCCATGGCTCCACTTGTGGCTGTTGGTCCCACAGGGTCCCCCACTCCTGGGGCAGAGACCATGGCAGGAGCTGGCTCTGTCCTGCTGGGACCCATTGCTGGGTTAGGTTTACCAATTCAAAGTGCCCCCCTCCTTGATTTTCATATCTGAAGTGAAAACCTCCCTGGTAAAGCCTTGGAGAAGGAAGCGAACAGAGCACTGATGGGCAACAGTTCAATCCCTGCCCTGCTGAGGGCTGATCCAGGTTGTGGTGGCAGCAAGGATGAGTGTGCAGTGCAGGGGGACATAGGAGTGCTGCGGGATGCTCCTGTTGCCAGCTCCATGCCGGGGATGCAGACAGGAGGGTTGGACATGGGGAGCACAGCCATAGAGCTGTTGGGGGCCTGCCCGCTGCTGGGGAGGTTCAGTGCTGGGGTGTTTGGGGAGCAGACAAAGAATGGGACTTGTGGGTGCTATGGGGGCAGTGCCTTGGCCCTGCTGCCCGCGCCGTCCTGCAGTACCGCCGTCCCGGCTGCGCTGGCAGCGCATCTGGCTGGCGCGTCCCCGAGCAGCTGAGTCAGCACGGGAAGGCGATGCGAGGCTGTGAATGACTTGCAGATATGTGCGGGGCTGGTTGGCTGCATGTGGTCCCCACCGTGCCCCCAGTGCAGGCCCTGCTCTCCCTGCAGGTGTGGACGCAAGGCAGGTGGGGGATTGTGGCTAGCAGCACGGCCCCCTCCTTCCCTCCCCTCCCCAGCGTCCCTCCGCACCATAAATCGGCTGCACATACAATTAAGGAGCTTGTCTGCACGGTCTGAGCCACAGATGTATTTCATGGGCGAGAGGTGGTTGTAAAGCATCCGCAGGGGCTGCCAGTGCTGTGCTCGGCCACCTGCACGGAGTGCACGTGTGTGGGGGGGGAGTTTGCAGAGGGCTGTGGGCAGGAGAGACCCCCCCATACCCCGTGGCAGCCCCAGCCCTGAGCAGCCCTCAGCACAGGTGCAGCTCACCTCGTCTGACCGGGGCAGCCAGGCCAGCTGCGTTACAGCAAAGGGGCTAATCAAATATTTAGCAGTTAATTGATGCCTGCCTGCTGTTTGCCAAGGGGCAGCTGACATCTCTGCCCTCCGGCCCTGCTGCCTCCTCCGTGGTGCCCTCCCGGCTGGGCTCCAAGCACGCAGGATGCTGCCCCACTACCCGATAAGCACAGCTTTCTCTGCAGTGGTTTGGTTGTTCTTTGCCCCGTGCTGCCCTCCAACCCGAGGGCTGCCCTGGCTTCCATCACCACGAGGTGATGCGTGGGGTCCCCTGCCCATCCCCACCGCAGCACCGCCTTGGTCTCTGCCATGCCGTGTGCTCCAGCCCGTTCTCCCGCTGCCTGAGCCCCAGCAAAAGGGGGTACGTGGGGCTCGGAGCGAACGGGGGCTCAGCTGTGACCACGGGGCAGGAGTGGCGCGGCACAGGGATAGCGCAGGCTGTGGGGCGGGGACCGAAGGCTGGGACGGGGCAGGGGGCTGCAGGCACGGGGACCCGCAGCCCTGGCACTTCGGGTTCGTTGTCCCAGAGGTGACGGTTCGGCGCCGCTGTCTCGCAGGGTAACCAGGACGCCACGGCTCCGCCTGACGCGATGGCACAGCCCTACCCCCCGGCCCAGTATCCCCCGCCCCCCCAGAACGGCATCCCCGCAGAGTACGCGCCGCCGCACCCCCACCCCACGCAGGACTATTCGGGGCAAAGCACAGTACCGGAGCACGCCATGACCCTCTACACACCAGCACAGAGCCACGCCGAGCAGCCGGGCTCCGACGCCAGCACACAGTCCATAGCAGGGACGCAGACAGTACCGGTAAGGGAAGGGTATGGGGGATGCTGGCAGCTCAGCCGCGGTCCCTTGGGATGCCCGATGCCCCCACCGTGCCCAGGGGAGCAAGAGCCTGCAGCGATCAGCTCACTGCCCCATAGCCGCCGCCCCCCCCCCCTCCCCGTCATTTCTAATCACTTGTAATCTACCTGCTTGGCTGCTTTCCAATCAGATAGCTTCAATTATGTGGTTGTAATGCAGCTCTGGGGGGGAAAAGTGCTGAGCTGAGCACTTCCCAGCCTGGCCACCGCAGCCCTGTGTGCAGGGTCTGCCTCCTTCAGCCCCCCTTCACCCCTCCCAAGTGTGCCCATGTGCCACCTGATGCTCTCTGCAAGTCACTCCCATCCCCACCCACATCCAGCTGCCCTTCCCTGGGTCCCAGATGCTGCTGCTCCTGCGCTGTACCTGCTGCTGGTAGAGACCTGGGAGGGTAGTGCAGTGCCCAGAGAGGGAGAGTGCAAGGTCAGGGGTGTCCCTGGGGCCAGAGGAGAGAAACACAGTCCCCACACCCAGATCCTTGTCGGGTTTTGTGGTGCTGTTGGGTTGGGCTCAGCTGATGAGGCGGCGGTGCTCCTGCAGCAGACAGACGAGGCGGCACAGACAGACAGCCAGCAGCTACATTCCTCAGACAACACAGACAAGCAGCAGCCCAAGAGGTTACACGTCTCCAACATCCCCTTCCGATTCCGGGACCCCGACCTGCGGCAAATGTTTGGGGTGAGTGCAGTCCCATGTAGGTCCCTGTGTCCCACGATTCAGTTCAGGTTCCTCATCCTCGTGTCACCACAGGGCCTTGCCACCATCCCTCCCCTGGGCCCACCATGTCCCCCCCTTCTGCTGGTTAGTGAAGTTTCTGCCCCGCTTAGCAGCTGGGCTCTTGGCCATTGTCCCCTTCCCTTCACCCCTCCCATCCCTCATTAGGATTTGGAGCACTGGGGGCTCATTAGCTTTGAAGTGACCTCTCTAGGTCCTGGAAGGGAGTGTGTGGCAGTGGGACGATTGAACTGAGGGAACACCAGGATGTGCCCTGTGCTGATAGCCCAGGAGCTCTGCAGGCGCTCACACTCTGCTCTCTCCACTTGCAGCAATTTGGGAAGATCCTCGATGTGGAGATCATTTTCAATGAACGGGGCTCCAAGGTGGGTGCCACCATTACAGCGAGCCCTGGCAGCGGGCACAGCTCAGCCCGGGTGGGTGCACACCTCTGGGGGCCGTGTGCCAGCTGCCCCACTCCTGCCCCATCCCGGGGGCACCTCCCACTGCCCTGTGCTGGCTGTGGGGATGTGTGGCTGCTGGAGGGGGGAGGGGGCAGTCCATGCCCTGCGGGGCGGCTCGCGTCCCTCTGTGTGCGGGTGTCTCTGCTGTATCTTCCCTGCTTTCTGTGCCCTCTCCCAGACTCTTTTCCCAGCTCGTGGGTGATGCTGGGATCTCCACCAGGACCTGGCCTGTGTACTGGTCCATACAGCGGCCGCTATCTCCTCTGCCAGCTCTCCTGATTCACCCCTCTCTCTCTCTCTGTCCCCGCACCCTCTCTCTCTCTGTCTCTCTCTCTCTCTGTCTCTTTCTTTCTCCTTTTCTCCTCTGCTCACAGGGTTTTGGGTTTGTAACTTTTGAAACTAGCACAGATGCCGACCGGGCACGAGAGAAGCTGAATGGCACGATCGTAGAGGGCCGGAAGATTGAGGTGCTCAGATAAGTGTGCTAGTGCCCTGCCTGCCCTGCCATGTGCATGTCCCGGGGGTGCTTGCCCGGTGTGTGCATGCGTCCATGAATGCAGCACGGGGAGCATGCGTGTGTGCTGCAGGGAACTCGTCACTTACAGCAACAGGGAGAGGCTCAAAGGAAAACATCCCAAGGGGTAGAGAGAGCTGGGGGCTGTGCGCTGGGCTCTGGCAGTGTCCTGCTGGTGATGGAGGAGCGTGCAGGAGGAGGAGAAGGCTCTGTGGAGCTCTGCATCCGCTCTGCAAGCAGCTGCCATGCCCTCCAGCCCCAGCAGTGTTACTGTCTGTATGTGCTGTGTGGCACCGTGCACAGCTCCAGGAGCAGTGTGTGCAGGGCAGCGCGTGGAGTGAGCTGGGCATGAGCATCCCTGCAGCACAGAGTGGGGCCTGGCAGGGCACAGTGCTACCCATGGATGTGCTGGGCAGGTGCTGGTGGGAGCAGCCAGGGCTCCTGGCACATCCTGTGAGGTGGGGATAGGAGGCGGCTGAGCCTGCACCTTCAGCACAGTGTCACAGCCCCATCGGTGTGGCACAGTGGTGTCACAGCTGCAGGTCAGCCTCATCCCATGGCTCCTTGCTCGCCCTGTCCTGCCCTCTGGTGTTTCTCTCAGCAGTAATGCACACAGAGCAGGCCTGGAGTTCTGCCTCGCCAGCCCTGTGCCAACCAGCACTGAGCTCCCATCCCATCTCTCTGCAGGTGAACAACGCCACAGCCCGGGTGATGACGAACAAGAAGACTGCAAACCCCTACACTAACGGTAGGGACCAGTGCAAAGAGAGACTGAGTGGGCACAGGCACAGCTGAGATGCTGAGCAGCAGCCCTGGGCACCATTTCCATTGCTGCAAGGCTAGGCTGCAGCACGTATGCTCTGTGCCCTTGGCTAGAAGCAGCAGTGGCTGCTCCCTGATGAACCTGGCAGCGTGCCTCTGTGCCATCCAGGGATGGGAGCCATGGGGGGGAGCCCAGTGGGGTGCCAGGATGGGTGCACAGCGCCACGGGTCTCCCCCAGCTCACCAGCCTTCCCTGCTTGCAGGCTGGAAGCTGAACCCAGTGGTGGGAGCTGTCTACGGCCCCGAGTTCTATGCAGGTAAAACCTCAGCTCCGCACTAGGGCTGTGCTGTGTTCCACCCCGCTGCTTCTCCAAGCAGCCCCCTGCACGCCCCTCTTCCCTTCCCCCCCTTCTCCCCAGCATGCACACTCCCCCCACACCCCATTTGCCCCAGTGTACCTCCAAGACCCGTGTCCCAGCAGCCTCATCCCTGGGGCAGTGCTGTGGGCACAGATTGATGCTCCAGCACGGGATGCACTGCGGTGACTGCAGGTGGGCACCGCTGCAGGAATCCCATGTTTGTCCCCTCCCTCCTGCAGTAACGGGGTTCCCATACCCTGCCACGGGGACAGCTGTGGCCTACCGAGGGGCACACCTACGGGGACGAGGACGCGCCGTCTACAACACGTTCCGGGCTGCACCCCCACCGCCGCCCATCCCCACCTATGGCGCGTGAGTACCAGAGCTGGCAGGGGGTCGGTGCCACTTGGACCCCGAGGGCTGGGGGTCCCACGTTGTGTTGCAGCCCAGCACGGCTAGGAGGGCTCGGCCCCTTCCCGTCCCACTCTGTGCACACTGCAGCAGCTGCCTCTTGGCCGGCCCTGCTGCTGACTCGGCCCTCAGGGGTGCCCCAAGAAGGCGCCTTCTGTTTGGTTTTCCATTTGGTGCTGAATTGCTTCAATTCTGCTGCTGTCAGTGTCTGCACTGCTGGCTCCTGCACCTCCTGCAGGGAGGTGTTGAGGAGAGGGCTGCAGCTCCCTGGCGCCTGCGTGGCCTCCAACGCTGAGATGCTCCTGCACTGATTCAGCCCAGGCTGTCCTCTGCTATCCCCACGGCCCTGCCCACCATGCCTGGAGCCCCAGGCCATGCCCACATCCCGCACCCCCAGCACCTCGAGCTGCCTTGACATCCACTTCCCATCCCTCCGTACCCAACTCCCTGGGTCACTGGTGTCACCATCCATCCTACCTGGCAGCACCAGCTGTCTGCACAGAGCACAGTGCATTTATCAGAGCTTTAAGCCGAGGTGCAGGTTGCAAGCAGAACCCAGGACAGCCACAGCCAGCCTCTGTGTGGCTGTAGGGCTCCGTGTCCCCAGGTGCCTGTCTCCAGGTTTCCCTGCGGCTCTGCTGCTCGCCCTGCTTCATGCACCCACCTTGGGCTGAGCACTGCCTGGGGATTTTGCTGCCCTCACGCCTGGTTGGGGCTGAGTGTGCCAGACCCTGCAACCCCAACCTCCCCACGTCCCCTCGGCATGACTGTGGGCACAGCTGGGTTGTGTCCAAGTGCAATGCCTGGAGCAGCTCCATCGAGCACCTGGTGCCCACAGCTCTGACTCCTGTGCCCCGTTTACAGGGTTGTCTACCAGGACGGGTTCTATGGAGCAGAAATCTACGTAAGTGCTGCCTGCAGGGATGCTGTGCAGGGATGGGGGTGCTGCCCATCGGGCGCTGTTCCTCCTGCACACCACAGTGCCCAGTGCGGTGCTGGGGACCTGGGGGTGGGGGGACGAGTGGCTGAGGTGCTGTGCGGGTGGGGGTGGCACAGTGTGAGTTTATGCCCCCAGCCCCATGGGATTGATGTCCTCGGTGCGTGTCGGTGCGCTGTCTTACACCAGCGTTTAACCTCCATATTTAAAAAGCCATTGGCGATATTTCAGGCGGGCGGCTGAAGGATTTATCTAACGTGACACCTCATTAAAGCGATCAGGGAGGTGACATTCTCTCCTCTGGAAATTTAATTTTTTAAGGTTAATGTTTGTGAAAGCCCCTGGGGAATGGTAATGAGGCTGGTATGCGCCCGGCGGTTCAGCTGTCCGCAGGGTCCCACTGCTGCTCTGCAGCCCCTGGGGCAGCATTGGGTGGGGGGTGGTGGCCACCCTGATTCTGCCCCCCCCGGCAAGGCCTCCCTCTCACAGCCACCTCTCTCTGTCCCCCTGCTGCAGGGGGGCTATGCCGCCTACAGATACGCGCAGCCTGCGGCCGCAGCAGCAGCATACAGCGACAGGTAAGCAGCAGCGTAATTCGGGGGGAGGTTGGGGTGCCCCATATGGCACCATATGGCACAGCACAGTTCCTGCAGTTTGAGGACGGGGCCGGGCGCAACGCGGTACTCTCATATCAGAGCTCCCTGTGCTGCGTAGTGCGATCGGTGGGGGGCAGCAGCCGGGCAGGGGGAGCAGCAGAGGACCCGTCCCCAGACCTGTAACACCCAGCTGCTGTTTGCTCCTAGTTACGGCCGAGTGTACGCAGCCGCAGACCCCTACCACCACACCATCGGCCCCGCCGCCACGTACAGCATCGGCACCATGGTAAGAGCAGCTCTCGTGGCCTTTCTTTGCATCCCGACGCGCCCCTCGTGAGCTGCAGCCGGCCCGGGGGGGTCGGGGCCTGCGGGAGGGGTGCAGAGCAGCACAGCCCCTGCGTGGCATCGTCCCCAGCAGGACCCAGGCAGCGTGCAGGGAGCAATCTGTAGCTAGCCTCGCAACCAGCATCAAAGATGAAAAATCCCACTTGTGGGTGGGATCTCAAGCCAAATGGCTTTTTTCTTCCTTTTTAAATTTGTATTTATTTTTCACCCTCCCACATCCCCCGGTTGAGCCCTGGCCACCGGGACCCCCCCTGCCCCCCCTCAGCCCATATTGTCCCCATGGCAGCACTGGGTGCCCCGGGGGCGCCCACCCTGTGCACCCCAAGGACAGAATAAAAAAAAATAAAAATAAATTAAAAAAAAAAAAATAGAAAACAAGAAAGGGAAGAAATGGGCTTTGCCTCTCTCTTGAATACTGATTGGCTTTTTTTTTTTTTCATCTTTGATGTTGCAGGCTAGTCTATACCGAGGAGGGTACAGCCGCTTCACTCCCTACTAGCAAGACAGACCCAGCCCCTCACAGCACTAACACTGACCGCTCACTAGAAACCAAACCAGGCAGACTAAGCAGAGGCAGAGCCTCCCGGAGGAACCGAGCCCTGCCTGCGGGCTCTGCCCCGCGATAGGTTCACCTCGAGCCACTCCGCCGCAGCCTCCATCCCACCCAGCCCGGGCGTAGCGCTGCTGGGGGGCGGCTGGGAGTGGAACTATGGGACTGTGGGTGCTGCCCTGCTCGGGGCGAGGGCTTGGCCCCATAGGTGAGGCAGGGGTGGGGGTGGGGGGCTGTGTTGGGGCCGGCGGCTCCCACGAAAGCTCTGCCTTTCTGTTTTCTGTTGTAGTGAACACGCAGCCGTTTTCCTTCTGGGACCAGGAAGGGCAAAACAAAACACACACACAAACACACACACACACACACACACACGGTTTAAAAAAAAAAAAAAAAAAAAAACCAAAAAAAAACAAAAAAAAAAAAAAAAAAAAAACAAAAAAAAAAAAAAAAACCAAAAAAAAAAAAAAGATGAAAAGCAAAGCAACCAACCAACCAAGCAAAGAGGCAGCAACCAAGTGAACGTCCCGTCTGTCCACACACACGTACCGAGCGAGTCCCGGAGGAGACTGCGGAGCGCACGGAGCGCTGGGACGCGCCCAGAGCCGCCAACCCGCAGCCCCACGGCCCGGCCTGGGCTCCACGTCTTCCTTCGCGCCCGGCGCGGTGCCGGAGCGCGGTCCCGCCCGGCTGGGCTCAGCTCAGCTCCCGGCCCGCAGCGCGTCGCGGCTCCGGGCTGAGCGGCAGCACCTCGGGGTGCGAGGCTCGGCCCCGCGCGGGTGTGCTGGGCGCTGCAGGGGATGCGCCTCTGCGTTTTAAAGGGAATTTTTGTTAAGAGGAGCTTGCAACTCGCTTGCGTTCCCCTCCCGCCCGTCCCTATCGCACCCAAGGCTCGCACCTGCCGCGGGGCTCCCCGCGCTGAGCTGGGATGGGGACGGATGGGACATCACGGCCACCTCCCCGCCCGCCGCAGGGACCCCGGTGGGTGCGGCCCCGTCCCACGTCGGGGTGACCTCGGCTCGGCCGCCCCCGCCCCGCGTGGCTCCGCCACTCGTCAAACCTCACTTTATAGTCTGCAGACGCCCCGACGCTCCAGCAACGAGTTCCCCCTTTTCTATTCCCCGTGTACATAGCCCCGCCCGGCCGCCCCTGTACAAACCCCCATCGCTGTACTGGCTTCTTCCTTACAGCAAAGCCCCGCGCCGGCCCCGGCTGCAGGCTGGCGCCGGCCCGTCCTGTATGCTTCAAAGGTGTGACCATTCTAATAAACAGTATTATTATTATTATTATTATTATTATTACTACAAGGATTATTATTATTATTATTATGGAAATTATTAATAAAGATTTCTTTCTTCAACCAGGGCGACTCCAGTTTTGACTGGGGCGCGGGCGCAGCGGGGCTGGGGGTCCGTACGCTGCAGCAGGGTCCCAGCTGTGCCGAGCCCTTCCTTTTCCAAACCACCCTATAATTTATTTCAGAGCAATTTGCCCACGGAGGAGCAGCAGCTTCAATGCTGACATATTAATTTTCCTGAACAGGAGCCAGTATTGTCTATGGGACCGGGGCTGGCGCTCTGAGGGAGCTGGGCTGCACGACCCTGCTGCGCGGCATGCTCGGCTACGTCCCTGCCTGCTAATTGCTTGCTCACCAGACTGTGATAAAATAATTGCTGCTATAAATTTTCTCTCCTTCTCCGCACAAGATATCCAGGGGAGCCGCTGCGGGTGGAAGCGCCGGCTGCCAGCCCTAAGAGAGGGGGACAGCAGCTAGGCAGATTCATGAAGGGTGCAGCTCCTCCTGCAAGTGGAACCCCAAAACTCAGCCCTGAGCGGCAGTGTCCCCATATCTCCCACCCCACGCGGTGCAGGGGACGCATGGAGCCGGAGCTGTGCCACGTTCACCTTTAATGCCCGGCTCAGCTGCTGCCACCGGCCGGCTCAAAGTACACCAGCAGCAGCCGGCCCCATTGCTCCGGGCCCACGGGCAGCTCGCTGGGCAGCACCGGCTCCACCAGCAGCTCCAGCTGGCACGACTGCCCGGGTGCAGGCCGTGGCACCGCCAGCCCCACCGCACGGTACTGGCAGCCATGTGCCAGCCCCACGAGCTGCGGCTGCGGCGGCTGCGCCCGGTGGCACCGTGTGCCCTGGCTGAGCACACGGAAGCAGGCAGCCCGCCTGGGAGGAAAGGCCCAGCGCAGTGTGAGGCTGAGGGAGAGCTGCTCAACGCTGGGGCCATCCTGCCACCAGAGCTGCGAAGCCGTCAGGTTCTGCACCTGTGGTGGGGAGGCTGCCATGCTGCCCGCATCCAGCACCTGCGGAGGAGAATGTGGCACCATCAGCACCAGGCATGGCTGTGGCCGGGTTTGCAGCCCACCGTGCAGTGAGGATGTGCAGAGCACCCACCCGGAGCTCCCCCAGGAGGCAGCTGAAGCTTGTCTCCTGTGGGCTGGCCTGCTGTCTGGACACCAGCAGGGAGAGGTCGCGCAGGCTGCAGCCCCGCAGCTCCTGCTCGTAGCACCTGGAGGCAAAGGGACAGAGCTGAGCAGGGCCAGGGATCCCTGCAAGCCCGGGGTGCGGGGTGCTGGCAGGGCACTCACCGGCTGGTCCAGCCCTGGGCACCGTGACTGCAAGCAGCAAGTAGCCTGGAGAGGGCAGGTGGTGGGGCCGGGAGCAGACGGGGGTGGTGGCGGCCGTGGGGCTCTGTGGGAAGGCAAAATGGGCTGAGTCAGTGCTGTGCCCTGTAGTGAGTGTTCAGTGTGGGCAGCACAGGGGGCATAGGGTCCATACCGTCCTCACTCGGCAGCACAGTGACAGTGCTATCATGGCATCTGCTCGAGTGCCACGTGGTGAGCTCCAGGGCAACCGTGAAGTCATCCCCATGTGGCCCCTCCATCTTGTAGAGCAGGTTCAGGAAGAGCTTGGGAGGTGCATGCATCTGGAAAGAGAAAAGGCTGATGACCCCAAATCCACCCAGAGAGAGACAGAGAGAGAGAAGAGAGAAAGAAAAGGTACATTGGGTTAGGCCTATTGGGCAGCACTCGCCACAGTGCTCCGTGGCACTCAGTGCAGGGCTGGCACAGCTCTGCCAGGGCCTCCTGCAGCCATGCCCTGCCAGCACAGTGCCAGCCATGGAGGTGGGAAGTTGGCACCCAACTCACCGGATGGCTACACGCTCCTCGCCAGGAGGGATGGTGCCCTGCACCCGCAGGGAGCTGCCCCCACACCAGGCATCCTGCAGGCAGCAGCTGGTGCTCAGTTGGCCCCGGCGCTCCGGATAGAGGGGTTGGATCTCCTGGGCGCTCAGGTTGTACCACGGCCCAGCCTCTTCCTCCTACAGGACAGGAAACGCTGGGCAGCAGGGAGCTGGGAGCAGGACCCAATGTCCCCACCCAGCCCTGGGGGCTGCAGCCAGGCTGCTCCCTGCACCCACCTTCCCAGAGAGGAACATGCCAGTGCCCATTCCCACGCTGAAGGAGGTGGCGAGGGGCAGCGTGCAGATGCTGTGTGTGGGCAGGTAGTCTTCCAGCAAGCCCCAGAACCTGGGGGAAAGGGTGGGCATCAGAGCAGAGACCTTTGGTGCAGCCACATTAACCAAAGCATGGAGGCATCCTGCACTCACTTGTTCTCGTTCTGCAGGAAGTTCTCCTCTCCCAGGTGTTCATAGACCCAGCCAGGAGCAAAGATGGCTGCAGACAGGCCGTGCTTGCGGATCAGGCTCAGTGACTGCAGAGACAAGTGGAAAGCAGCACAGAGCTCAGGGAGGACTGGATGGTCACCCTGTCCCCTGCCACGTCCACTCTCCACGAGGTCCTGCTGGTCCCACAGGGTGCCAGGACCATGGTGCAGGGATGTACTGCAGCATCGCCCTTCCCAGAGCCTGCAACACTAGGATCTCCCACCCCCAGCCCTGTGCACACCGGATCCCAGGCTTCCTCAGCTCTCACCAATGCACCCTGAGTTACCCCAGCACAGTGTGGATGATCCACTGGAGAGAGCTGAGAGCCACGCACCAGGGGCAGACCCACAATCCTGCTCCAACCACACACACCTTGTTGGTGTCAAAGCCACCACCAACCACGTCCCCACGAGCAAAGACATCGACACCAATGTAGACATCAGCATGGCGCTGCCCAGCCAGCTCACGTGTGCGTTCCAGGTGTTCCTCCTTCCAGTTGTAGTTGACAAACAGCCCATCACAGGCATCAAAGAACACCCTGGGGATGAGGGTCAGTGCAGGAGTGAGCACCCCAAGGGGCAGTGCCAGCCATGCCTTGAGCTCCATAGCCCCCAAACGCCAAGGTGTGGGGTGGACTTGTGCCTCACCACGGCTGTTTTTGCTCAGGCAGGCACATGCCCCACCGCTCACCTATTCTGCTCATTCAGCTCATTCTGCCATTTCAACGTGCCACTCTCCAGGATGCTGTCATACCAAATCACCAGCCCCCCCGGCACCGCGCTGTGCACCTGAGCAGTCAGATGCCGCAGGAAGGGAGACAAGTTCCCCACCGCCGCCGCCTGCCAAGAGAGAGCAGAGAGCAGCTGGACACAGGATGGTCCCATCCACGAGGACCCAGCCTGGGGCCTGGGGTTGAGCCCCGTGGGGCAGGATGCAGGCAGGGTGTGGGCTGCTCACGCTCAGTGTATTCTCTATGTTGATCAGCCAGCCATCAAAGCGGTAGTGCTGGGCGATGCGGGCCAGCTGGTGGCTCACAGCACGGTACGCCTCCTCCCCACCCGCCAGGAATGCCTCGCACAGCTTCTCGCCGTCCGTCCACTCCGTGATGAAAGTGCCTGGGGAGGGGTGGGTGCAGCGTTGCTGTGTGTTCCAGCAGGCTCCCAGCACCACACCGCCCCGGTTCTGCCCTCACCCAGCACCGGGACGCCGTTCCTGTGCGCCGCGTTGGTCCAGCACACAGGTGGGATGGTGACAGTGTGGTGGCTGAAGTAGACGAAGATGTCGATGTAGCGCCAGTGGTAGAAGACGTATGGGTTGCGTGTGGCTGAGCCCTGGATGAACCTGTGGCAGAGCAGAGGGAAGCATTGGGCAATGCTGGAGAGACGCCATGGGGCCAGGCAGGACCTGAGTCAGCCCATGAGTTGGGCAGAGCGGTGGCACTGTGTCACTCCAGCAGGGCTGGCCCCATCCACAGAGCTCCAGAGCCAGAGATACACCCTTCTGGCCCCACCTGGAGAGGCCAACAGCAGGAAACAGACCAGACACTGAACTGAAGGCTGGAGAAAGGGCAGCAGCGGGCTGGGTGCGTGCCGGGAGGTGCATGCACCCATTCCCCAGGTACCACACAGCTGTCCTCCAGGTATCACACACCTGTCCTCCAGGTATCACACACCTGTCCTCCAGGTATCCACCACGCATGTCGTGGCACAGCAGCGTGCGGGGTCTCCGGCTGTGCAGTGGGGGTTGGCGCTGGGCCAGCGGCACCGCACAGATGTTGAAGTCATCATCGCTGTTGGGCTGCCAGGCCAGCAGTTCCTCAAGGCCGGACAAGAAGAAGCTGATAGGCTCCGTGGTACTGGTGTCGAAGTACCGAGCTGGAGGGGCAATGAGCCGGAACCGGGGTCAATGGGGTCGGGGTGCATGGGGGGGCTCAGGTTCCCAGCCTCTCACCTGGCAGGGGCTGCGGGCGAGTGCTGACGGCTGCGTGCAGCACGGTGGTTCCCAGAGGCTCCGCCGCCGGCTGAAAGCTGCCCGGGGAGAGGAGTGAGGCCCGCTGCCGCCCGGCACCCCGCGCCCCGCTCCGTGTCCGCCCGGGCAGCACCGCGGCCAGCGCCCGCCGCACCGGGCCTCGCTCCGAGCGCTCCGCGCCCCGGTCCCGGTCCCGGCTCCCATCCCCGGCCCAACCTCCGCCGCCGCCGCCGCCCGCCCCGCTCCTCCTCCTCCTCCTCTTCCTCCGTCGTTCTCTTCCCGCGCCGCGCAGCCCCGTCCTGCGCCGCCGCCTCCGCCATCGCGCTGCCGCCGCTCCGCCCGCACTGCCGGCAACGTGCGCCGGGTCCGGCCTGCCTGCGGGGGGGGCGCGGCACAACGAGCTCCGCCCGGACCCGGCCCGCCCCGTCCTGAGGGCGGGGGCAGCGCCGAGCTGGGCTGGGAGCTGCTCGGGTTCTGCTGGCCCCGCCTGCGCCTCCGCCGTGCCCCGAGAGAGCTCAGCCCTGAGCGCTGCTCTCTGCCCGGCTGTGCTCCGGCCGTGCCCGGCTCTCGAGGTGCCCCTGAACACAAAGCGACGAGATGAGATGGAAGTGTGAGTAGGAACCGAATCCATGAGGCGTTTAATGCGATCACAAGTGTACGGAGCAGGAGGCAGCGTGCTGCCCCATGCCCTGCTCTGCCAGTGCGTCTACAAAAACAAGAAGCCTGCCCAACAGATCCCAAATTGAGCCCCAAAAACGGGGCTGAGGCTGAAGGCCCTGCATGTCGGGCAGCTGGGAGCCAGCTCCTGCCAATGGGTGCTGGCATCAAGATGTGGCTGTGGCGTGGGGCACAGTGAGGGAACCGGCATGGGAGGGCTGCTGCACCCATCTGCTGGTGGCTCTGCCCTGGGGAAGCAGCAGCCCAGGGGACACCGCTCTGCAGAAGTGGTGTTCAGTGGCTTTATTACTGCTCCCCCCTGCTGACCAAGTGCATTGGTGAGGATTGGACAGCGGAGGTGCTCACATCGCTCCAGCAGGTGCCAGCTCATAGCCAATGCCATAGACACCCAGCACACCCAGCCCTGAGCTGGGCACAGGTGGGGACGAGGTCCCTGCCTGCTCCATTGAGCAGCCAGCCCTTGGGTCAGGGATACAGCAGAGGTTACAAATGTCTCCATCTCCTTCAAGTGTCCTCCGGGGGAGGGGGGGTTATCACACAGCTGGGGGTAGTGGTATGTAGCAGGAGAGCTGGAAGGAGAGTGGTGTGCCCAAGAAGGGGAGCAGCAGGAGCTCTGCAGGCCCCCACCCCAGGGAGCAGGATCGGGGTGTAGGCACTCAGGGGTCCCCGCTGTACTTGATGAGGTGCCCACTGAAAGTGATGTAAGTGTCATATTCATCACTGAAGACAGCGTTCTCACGCTCGCCCTTGTAGAGCCTCACCCAGACCTCATCCTGCTCGCGCAGCTCCAGCATGACGCTCTGGCTCTGCATGATGCTGCGGTCGCTCACCTGCGCGTAGAGGATCACCACCTCGGCCCCATTGCGCATGATGTGCAGGTAGGTCTCCTTCTGGTTCCAGGTGTGCACGTTCAGGCTGAAGTAGTAAATCCCGGGGACGTAGCAGTAGAACTTCCCCGTGAACATGTTGAAGTGGTCGTAGAGGTTGACAAACTCCGTGTCGAAGATGAGGGTTTGGTAGTAGTCGTTGCTGTGCAGGGGTTTCTTGCGGCCCACCGAGAAGGCAGCGTAGTGGTTCTTGCAGCGCTCCCCCGGGGCACCCGCGCTGCCCTTCTGTCCCTTGGGCCCCGTGTGGCCCCTGCTGCCGGCCACCCCTGTCTTGCCAAACTTCCCCTGCATGCCCCGCTCACCGCGTTCCCCCTTCTCACCTGGCAGAGCAGAGGGGATGGTTTGGCACCAGTTCCATCTCCCACCCAGCACTGGGAGTAGGACGGGTACCGGGCTGCAGGTGTGGCTGTGGGCAGTGCCCTGCACCCTCACCTTTCAAGATGGTCATGTTGATCTGGGGCTGGTACTGGGGGTAGGAGAAGCGGTGCTCGGGCGGCTCACAGCAGCGGACGCAGTGGGGCCGTGGGGGCAGCACCTCCTGGGCACCACTGTCCTTCTGCTCCTGCGTGGCCCTGGGGAGGGCAGAAAGCAAAGCGCAACAGGAGCTGTGCGTGGGGGCCGGGCCCCTCCTGGCACCAGGGGCTGCCCCATCCCCCGTGGGAGCACCTCTGTCCCCAGGGCCCTCTCACCTGACTGCCTGGTGCTTGGACGGGACCTCCTCGGGGTCCGCTGGATGCTGGTCAGGGTTGGGGCTGGTCTGGCTGCTCACAGAGTTGGGCAGCAGCAGGCAGGAGAGCAGCAGGACTCTGAGCGTCCAAAGCCCCTCCATGCTGCAGCAGCACCCTGTGAGACACCAGAGTGACTGAGGGGGATGGCAAAGCCCAGCAGTGTCCAGAGTGGGCAGGGGACAGGTGGGGATCAGGGCGCTACAGCAGGGTTGGGCTGGTGGGAAGGGACAGCATGGAGAGCAGCAGGGCACAGCCCGGCTATGGGGTTCCCTGCCAGGACCAGCAGCTGTGGGGTCCAGGCAGGGTTCTGAAATCCCCATCTCCTGGCCAAGGGACAGGGCTCGTGGGTCCACCCCCACTGCTGTGTTCTGTCCCCAAGAGTTGTTTGTCCTGCACTGCCATGTCAGCCTGTCTGTGCCCTGCATTGTGCCCAGCACAAGGCCTGGTGCACCATGTACCAGCACAGCCATACTTCCAGCCCTGAAAATGGCTCTTCTTGCAGCACCCCTCCTCCAGCAGAGCCCACAGCAAGGGCAAGTGCATCTCTTGCAGCTGCAGAGACTATCTGTAACTAAATGGCTGCTTTTATGTACCTAAGCCCCCATACCTCAATAATCTCCAGAAAGTACCTATTCCTGGGGGATCCCAGACTTGCCCATGGGCGTCTGCATCCCCCACTGAGTGCAAGCATCCTGTGACAGCAGCTGCCATGCCACAGGAGCTGCCAGCTCCCAGTCCCTATGCCTTGGTTCTTTGTGGATTTGCAAGGAAACCCAAACTGCTTCTCCTGAGCCTCAAGTGCTGCTGGTGGCCCTGGCCAGAACCCAGCCACTGGCAGCTGGGAGCCCACATCCTGATGGGGCCAAAGCTAACATTAGCGATAGCAGGTGGCAATTCAGCCCAGCCCTTCCTCGCCTTATCACTGCCATATCAGTTCTGAGGCATGGTACAAGCACCCTGCACTGCACCCTATGGCCCCAAAGGCGCCAGGAGAGCATGTGGCACCTCCCTGCTTCTGGACACCCATGGAAGCACTGGTGAGGTGGGCTCCTGCCAGGGCACAACTCTGTATGCCCAGGTCTGCAAAGGGCCTCTTGTGCCACAGTCCACGTCCTGGGCGTGAGCTGGGTAGTGGGGTCCTGATGGGAAGAGGCAATGGGGGCCCTGCTGGACTTTGAGGCAGAATCCAACAGTTTGGTGAATGCTGCTTTCAGTGCCTGTGTCCTCAGTTAGCGATGGTCAGGGTGGAACTGCCTTGGAGTGGGCTGTCTGTGGGCTGTGTGGACCAGGACAGGCGTGCTCCAGAAGTGGGAGCAGAGGGCGTTCGAGGCCAGGATTCCTGGCTCATGAGTCATGTTCAAGGAACAGGGAAAGGGCGGAGGGATGGGGAAAAGCTCCAAAGGGCTTTCCCTCTGCGCTAGCCCTTTGCAGAGGGCCCATCCCTTCACATACTTCCCCCCACACCCGCCCTGTCCCAAGGAAGTCTTGGAGCAGGGCTGTCCTCAGCTTGCTGCCCACTGCTGGAAGCTGAGCTGGTGGCACCATGGGCAGCCTGGCACCACTGCCTAATCGCCATGCCCTGGCCTGCTACCTGCCCACACTCAACTCTGTGTGCCAGGGAGAAGCAGCACAAGCAGGCCAGCCCAGGGCTTGTGAGCAGATACCATCCTGGAAGCTCAGCCTTGGCTCTCTTCTCCCTGCTTGGCTCCAGCTGTGCCAGCCATATGTCGGTGAGCGCAGCTCACAACCTGCTGTGCTGCTGGGAAACCATGGCTTTTCCCCTGCTCTGGGCCCACAGTATGTAGGGCTCCTGTTGAGCCAGACGGCTCCCTGGGACCCAGAGTGGGCTCAGCCCCAGGGAAAGCATAGCTTCACAGGAGACTGCTCAGCAGGAAGAAGAAATCCTTAGCCAGGATGTTCCTACTGAGAAAGGCAGCTCGTTTCCAGGCTGTTGCAGGGCTGGAAATGGAGGCGAGCGTGCCATGCACACACAGTGCTGCCAGCAGCGTGGTGTGCCCGTGGGCAGCATGCAGAGCTCCCAGGCCCTGAGCACGTCTGCCTCTGCACCCTGCAGGCAAGCTGGGCAGGCAGCACGCGTATCTGCACGGGCATACATAGTCTTGCTGAAGGGACTCTGTTTTTTCCTGTCAGAGTTGGATGCTCTCCAGGAGCGGTTTGGAGATTGAAATTCAGTGGCTGCTAAAGCCTTGGGACTGCAAGTCAAAACATCCTGAAAACATTCCAGGCAGCATTAAAGGCGAGGATGAAAGAAGAGCAAATGCCGGGGGAGGAGCGAGGGGGCTCAGCACACAGGGGGGTCTAGAGGCAGCAGGACCAGCATGCCCACCTCACCCTCCTGCTCAGCAGCCATGGACACGATCCTTTCTGAGCTGCAGCTGGAGATAAGCCCCCCGGCCTTTTGCCACAGCAGCTGGGACATCTGCGGAGCTGTCTGCAGAGTAGGAGCAGCCCAGACCCAGCAGGCAGCAGGGTGGGAGCGGCACAGAGCAGCCAAAGGCTGACAGAGAGGTCACAACCCTCCAGCTCCCACAGCGCCCAGCAGCACCATGAGAAGCTGTGCTCCCACCTGCAGCCACCAGTCCCTGCAGAGCTGCACCGGGTTGGCCCGGCGCTGGGTTTGATGCGCTCATGGAGTGTTTTGGTTGCAGGGCTCAGAGCTGGAGCTTCAGCGCTAATTCCCTCCCAGTGCCTGCCCCCCGGTGCTGCTGCAGGTTGAGCTGTGCCCCTCCAATAACACGCAAGGCTTCAGCCCCACAGTCCCCACCGCCCTCCTGCAGGTGGGACAGGGTGCAAGCCTGACTATCCAGAGTGAGGGTGGGGGCCGGGCCCCCAGGCCCAGCATCAATGGCGCAGAGCCCTACAGCACGCACAGACGTGCACACAACAGCGATCATCCCTTGTCTGCAGGTGACCCCCAGCCCTGCCCCACACCTACCTCTGGGGCAGGGCCGTTCTCTCCCCGCACCGCCTTTGCTGCTCTGGGGCACTGCTTGGTGCCGCGCTGCCAGACCCCTCGGTGTAGGGCAGAGCCTACCCCTGTGACAGCCTCCTCTCCTCCTATGGCCGGGCGGAAATGCACTTCTGGAAAGCAAAGGAGGAGAGCGAAGCAGCGGGACGAGCACGGCGCAGCCCTCCCACCGCCAGATGTGGGCCCAGCGCAGGCGGACGGCGTTAACCATGTGTGCACCCCGCGCCTGCCAGCACCAGGGAACGTGGGCGTCTGTGCCAAAAAGCAGCTCCAGACGCGAGAGGCGGCGTGCGGGGCAGCGCCTGGGGGCCGCGGCTGCCCCACAGCACGGAGCCACGGCCCTGCCCTACGCACAGCACCGCGTGGAGCCCTGAGCAGGGATGCGCCCCGAGCACGGTGCCGGGCGATGTGTCACCACGTCTGTGTTGGACAGCGGGGTTTGTCCCCGCACGGCACAGCTCGGCCTGGGGTCCGTGGGGCGGCCGGCCCAGAAGGGACCGCGGGCGGTGGGAGCGAGGCGGCTGTCCGGGGACACGGGGCCGATGCCGGGCAGCTCCGAGCACCATTCCCCCTGCCACGGCCTCAGTGGGGCTGGGCCGCGTGTCCCACTCAGCCCCTCTCGCCCCACCCGCGCTGGGTCGCAGCACAGCCCGCCCCGCGGCTCCCATCGCCCGCGGGCAGCGCGCTCCGCTCCCGGCCGGGCCGCACGCCGCGCTTCACCCCCGCGACGCCAAGCAATGAGAGCGGCCGCGGAGCGCGGGGGCTGCTGGGAGCTGTAGTTCTCGCCGCCGCTCTGCGCGGCCCGCGCTGTTTTGGCCGCCGTCGGCTGCCGTAGCGGAGCGCGGGGGCTGCCGGGAGCTGTAGGCGGTAGCTGTTGGCGGCGGGGGAAGCGGCGGCTGCAGTCGAGCGGCGGCGCGGTGAGCGAGGGGCCGAGGGGCGGCGGGGCCGGGGGCGAGGCGAGGCGGCTGCGGCGTGCGGCGTGCGGCGTGCGGCGTGCGGCGTGCGGCGTGCGGCGTGACGGCTGCCCGGCACCGGTGCGTGGCGGTGGGGTACCGAACGTTGCTGCTCGGGGCAGCGGCGCCGGGATCGGCGCCGGGGAGCCGCCGCCCGGGGCCACGCGCGGCGGGGGGCTCTGAAGCTGCGGCGGGTCGGGGCGCGGGCGGCGGCCGCCGGGGTGGGACGCGGAGCCGCCGGGCCCGCAGCGCCCCGTGCGGTGCCACGGGCCGCCCCCGCGCTCAATGCCGCCTCTGTCCGCCCCGGGGCCGCCTGAAAGGGGCGTTGAGGGACCGCGGGAGCGCCGCCCGGCCCTGCGGCGTGGGCACGGCCTCGACCGGGGGTCCCCGGAGCTGCGGTGTCCCCGGGCCCGGGCAGGGCGTGGGGGGACACGGGGTGCATCCCTGTGATGGGCGCGGCGGGGCAGCTCGGCTTTGCCCGGGGGTAGATGGGACCGGGGCGGACCGGGCCGGCAGCGGCTGCCGCATCGTAGGGTCATGGTGTTGGGGTTTGCAGTCTTTGTGGATGTAGGCCCGGCTGTGCACCCCGCAGAACCGGGCACCGCACTTCCTGGTCAGGTGTCAGCATCCTGCTCGGGCGGGGCTGCCACGTGTCCCTGCTGTCCCCGCAGGAGCGGGGCACGCTCACCAGCACAGTTCTGCACTCCGGAGGTGAGGACTGTGCTGGTCATCTCCGCATGCAGCTATAAGCTGATACCCTTCTCCTCCGTGGGTGAGGATGCTGCTGTAAGGATGCTCAGCACACAGCCAGGGGCTCGCTCTGGTCTGGGGTCGATGGGGAAGATGAGGGGCTGAGCGTGGCAGAAAGGCTCCCGCAACAAAGCAGCCCTTGGAGGGCCACTGCTTCACCGTGACGCTGTGCCTTGCTGTCATCCTCAAGCACAGCGCTGGGCTGCAGCTCTCACCTGCTCTTTCCTCGCTGCCAGGCTCTCCTCGCCCACAGGCTGATGCCCGTGCCTCCCTGCCATGAGTCTATGAGCCCGCTGCGGATCAGCGTGGGTAGCCTGCCCGTCCTCGCGTCCATGACCAAAGGTGCCGACCCCCGCTTCCGCCTGCGCTGGAGGGCCATCGTTCTGTCCTCTGCCTGCGTGGGCTTCGTGCTGCTGCTCTTCTGCCTGCACCGCTCCCCACCGGCACGGCCCATCGCGCCCAACTCGCACAGCCGGCACCTCTGGCTGCAGGTGGAGGATCGCTACAATGACACCTACCCACTGTCCCCACCCCAAAGGAACCTCGAGGGCGTGCGCTACCGCATCGGGGTCATTGCGGACCTGGACACTCAGTCCCGGGGCTCTGAGGAGCACACCTGGTTCAGTTACCTGAAGAAGGGTTATCTGGTGCTGTCGGCCAGTGGGGACAGTGTGACGGTGGAGTGGGATAAAGAGGAGAGTGTGCTGCAGTCCCACCTGGCAGAAAAGGGCCGGGGCATGGAGCTCTCAGAGCTGGTTGTCTTCAATGGGAAGCTGTACTCTGTGGATGATCGGACTGGGGTGGTCTACCAGATCGAGGGCAACAAGGCGGTGCCCTGGGTGATCCTCTCGGATGGGGATGGCACTGTGGGGAAAGGTGAGCCCTGTAATGCCCTGCTCACTGCCTGACCTACTCACACAGGGCAGGGGGACTTTGTCTCTTTGCACCTTTTTGTCATTCTGCAGGGTTTGGGGGGGCTGTGTGCAGTGCTGAGCTGGGGGGGGGCTGTAGAGTACCCTGACATCCATGTGTGGCCGAGCCTTGGCACAGCTCATGCTGCTCTTTCCACTGCAGGCTTCAAGGCAGAGTGGCTGGCAGTGAAGGACGAACACCTGTACGTGGGGGGCCTGGGCAAGGAGTGGACCACCACCACGGGTGAGGTGGTGAATGAGAACCCCGAGTGGGTGAAGGTTATTGGCTACAAGGGCGATGTGAGCCACGAGAACTGGGTGATGAACTACAACGCACTGCGGGCTGCGGCTGGGATCCGACCCCCAGGTATGGAGCTCCCTCTTGTTGCTGCATGCCCCTTCCCTGCCTGGTTTCTCCTCACAGTCGATGGGATCAGTTTCTGGAGGATGGCATGGCCAGAGTCACGTCCAGAAGCTGTGTCCCCTAGGCCAGGGGTGCCCCTGCCCTGCTTTAGGGAGTGGAAAGAGGCTGGCATTGGGCAGAAAGAGGTGGAAACATTCACAGCTCTGGCCTTCATATGTCTGTCCTCTGCTGCAGCATCTTTTGAAGCGAGGATGCTTGGTGTCGGTGTAGGGGGATGTCCCTGCAGCGTGGCAGGGTCCTGCATGCCCTACGCTGACAGACCTGCTCCCTGCTGCAGGTTACCTGATCCACGAGTCGGCCTCCTGGAGCGACACGCTGCAGCGCTGGTTCTTCCTGCCGCGCCGCGCCAGCCACGAGCGTTACAACGAGAAGGCAGATGAGCAGCGTGGCACCAACCTGCTGCTCAGCTCCAGCCAGGACTTTGGGGACATCACAGTGGGACGTGTGGGTGAGGTGGTTCCCACTCACGGCTTCTCCTCCTTCAAATTCATCCCGGATACAGATGATCAGATCATCGTGGCACTGAAATCGGAGGAGGACAATGGCAAGATTGCCAGTTACATCATGGCCTTCACGCTGGATGGGCGCTTCCTCCTGCCTGAAACCAGGATTGGGAGCGTGAAATATGAGGGCATTGAGTTTATTTAACAAACTTGAAACCAGAGGGGTGAGGGAGGATGGGAGGGCGTGGGCTGGGCCCTGCTGGTGTGCTCACAACAAGGAGCAGACAGTGTGCCTCCCGATCCAGGGACGCATGAAGCACTCCAAGCTCTGTAGTTGGCGTCCCGTGTAAAGCACTGGCTTTGCTGCAGCCTGCATGGTGCGAGTGTTTCGGCAGTGGCACCTGGTGGCAAAGGACTGCCACCACAGGGTGTTGCTCCCTGCCACCAGCCCAGCCTCAGCTGCCGAAGCAGTCAAGGCAGTGAGGTTTCCCTGCACTGCAGGTGTTGGTGCCCAGAGTCTCTGCAGGGAGTCTTTGGCTCTGGTGACGGCCACGCTCTGGATCTGCAACCAAGGAGGGAGCTCAGCTCCTCTGCCCCTGTGCCAGCCTGGTGCCCAGGGCACTGTCCTCACATCCCTGCAGCTACAGTGCTGCAGCTGTGGAGCCTCTCCTGACCTTCCTGGGGATGGGCTCTGACCTGAGCCTTGGGGCCGCTCCACACTCACAGCGTGTCCTGGGAGGAGAGGCTCTGCTCTGTGTCCCCAGCACCTTACAGTAGCACACAGGGTATGTGTGTGAGACAAATATCCTCAAGAGAGGAATGTGTCTGAGGGGGGCCGCTGGCCAGGTCCTACCCTGTTTCTGGCCCTCTTGGAGTCAGGGTGTTCACTGGGGCCAGCAGGGTGACAGCCAGGGCAGGGCGAGCTGAGACATCACAGCTGTGGGGGATTTCATCAGGATGTTTCTCACTGTGTTAGCTGGTTTTCCTTCCCCTTTTGCATAAATGGTGCAGCAAATGTGTCAGTAACTGTCTGCTTGGTCATTGTGTTCATGGGAAGGCCTCACAGGGAGAGTCCCTTTGGAGATACTGTGTGCCCTCTGCTCCCAGCCCGGCTCTCTGCCTCTGTTTTAGTGTCCAGCATCTCTGGAGTTCTGTGGAAGGAGCGCACGCAGCTGGACATGTGTTTCCGCTTAGCCCCAACAACAATGACTCACTGCAGGGCACTGTGCCCTGAGCACACACATTTGTCTGCCCTGCAGCACAGCCCTGACCCTGGTGCTTGGCCTCGGACTGCAGACCTCAGACGGCTGCTGCTCCCTGCCCACGTCAGCTGCTGTCATGCTCCTCTCTCCTCACCTGCACTGTGCTCAGCCCAGTCTGGAGACAATGGCTCTACAGCACCTATCCCCTCCTCATCCCACAGGCAGCGGGCCTTTGTGCTGTGTCCTCTCCACCCCAGCCCTCATTCCAAGACCCCACCTCGTTCTCCAGGCTGCCAAACCCCAGGTGTTGGAGGGCTGCTGGGGCCACATGGCACAACCAGGGCCGGGCTGCAGCATCCCTGTGCCCCCTTCCCCCCCCTCAGCCCCACTGAGCACTTGGAGAGAGTGTCCACTGCCACAGTATTTGCCCAGAGCCCATTGCCATCTTTCATGCCACCACCCTGCCACGGATGTGTGTGTGCTCACCTCCCACACTCCCTGCAGGCTCACACAGGGCTTGGACCGGGCTCAACTGCCCACGTTTCAGTTGTTTCTTCTAAAGGGCAAAAGCTCTGACACCTCCACCAGATGTGAACTGGACAGCTCTGTGGCTCAGGAGCAGCTGGCATCGCTGCAGCACTGCTGTCCCTGCCAGCACACCTGCAGTGCCCGGCTCAGCTGCGCCCAGATGCTGTGTGCCCCTGCGCTGAGGGAGAGCTGGGGCTGCCCTCGCTGGGATGGTGGCAATGCAGAGCTGCCGCTGTGCGACAGGTACAGAGATACCGGCGGCATCGCAGGACTGGATGGGCAGATTTTGGGGGCGTGCTGCGAGCACGAGGGAGAGACCCGAGGGCAGCGGCGCATCGCAGAGATGCAGAGCCCCCGTGAGCGGCCGAGGGGGAGCGGGGGAAGCGGGGCGGGGGGCGAGGGGGGAGGGGGCACGGGCGGCAGGAGGAGATGAGCTGGAGGAGCAGGAAGGAGAGGAAATGCTTGGGCACAGACATAATGCGGCCCTCCCTGCAATTTGCTGCTCCGCTCGGCGCGGGCCGGGTGCCAGCGCTGCGAGCCGGGCCCGGGTCCCGTGCCGCCGCCCAACGACCGGAGCGAAATCCGCCCGGTCCCGGCGCTGCCCCGCGCCGTCCGCTCCGAGGCCCCGGCCGGGACGAACGGCGGAGGGGCCGCGGCCGTGCCGGGATGCGCGGGCGGGGCCGGGCCGGGCCGGGGGGCTGAGCTCGGCGCGGAGCCGGATCCTGCGAGGGGCGGGAGCACAGCCGGGCTGGCCCCGTGCCATGCAGAGGAGGAGCAGCGAATCCCCGGAGCACATTAAAAAGCGAGGCTTAGCGGCAGCCAGGGGAAGAAAACACCTCCATAGAAGGCAGCGGAGAGCGGCGGCTGCAGCAGCGCCCGCAAAGCCGCTCGGGGGGCCGCGGCGGCGGACCCAAACTTTCCGGCGGCGGATCGGGGGGCTGGGCGGCTCGGCCGGGCCGGCGGTGGATGAGGCTTTTTGGGGCGCGTCGCTGAGCCGCAGCCGCCGCACGATGCCCGGGGCCGCGCTGCCCAGCCTGCTGGCCTGGCTGGCGGTGCTGCTGCTCGGCAGGGCCCGCCCGGCCGACGCCTGCAGCTGCTCGCCCATCCACCCGCAGCAGGCCTTCTGCAACGCCGACGTAGGTGAGCGCTTTGTCCCCGCGGGGCCCCGCCCGGCCCCGCACAGCCCCCCGACGCGGGGCAGCGCCGCGCGAACTTCGCGGTGGGGGCGGCGGGCGGAAAGTTGGCGCGGGGCGGCGGGTCGGATGGACGGACGGACGGACGGGGCTGCCGCACCGGGCCCGGCCGAGCACCGCGGCACCTGCACGTGTGCGGGTCCCGGGGGTGTGTCGGTGTGGCGGCGGCCGGGAGCCGTGTGCCCGCCCGGTGTGTGCCCGCCTCTCCCGGCCCATCGCCGTGCCCCGGGGCCGGGCGCGGAGCGCGGTTCCTCCCCTGCGTCCCACGGCGATGGGCCCGGCCGCTGCACGTCGGGTGGGAGCGGGACGGTACGTGGCAGCGCGGGGAGCTGACAGCCCCGGGGGAGCGGAGCGCTCCGGTTCCGCTCACAAAGCGGCGCTTTGCCGTAAGCAGCGGCCTGGAGCGCTCAGCCAGCAGCCGGCCCAGAGCAGCGCCGGGCTCGGTCACCTCCCGTCTGTTCCTTATTTCCAGGCATTTCCTTTCCCCCGTCCCACTTTGTTCGGCTTGGATGCTGCTGAAAGGGAGGGCTTGGCAGCGCCGGGATCTGGATTCCTCTTTCGATGAATAATGCCCTTATTAAATTTTAGCATATTAAACAAACAGACCGGCCCCAGTTCCTGCCGCCCTCCTTGGCGGGGCCGTTCCCAGGCCCAGCTGGAGAGGTAACATTCCCAAGCACTTAAGCAGCCCGTGCCCTGCCCCATCCTCTGCTCCGGATCCAGGATGTGCTGGCAGACCCCGGCTCCCCCCCCCCTTTACAGACCCCGCTTGCGATGTGAGGGTAAATCCCACAGTGCACCGTTGCTGCCAGGCCCATAGAGCTCAGAACATCACGGGGTGTGCTGGGGATGGAGAGGTGCCCACACAAAATGGAGTGCTGAATTTCCAGAGCTGCTGCCGAGCCGGTGACCCCAGAGCAGCAGATCACCCGCAGCGAGGCTGAGCCTCCATCACACTCACGTCGGGGTCATCCTTCCGGGCCACTTGTGACTCACACTGCCATCCTGGGGTGCTGGCTCACCCGTGACTCAGCTGCTGAGTCACTGCTGTCTCGGCATTCCCGGCTGTCTCAGCAGTCCCAGGAAGGGCGAAGCGGGGGCTGGTTGTGGCTGCCCAACAGGTGTCAGCTCCCAGGCAGCCCGGTCCTGGCTGTGCTGTCCCTTGTGCCTTCACCCCCAGTTCCAGCCCATGTCTCCCTCACAGAGGATGTGGATGGGATTTGTCTGCTCTGACCCCAGTTGGGGATGGTGCTGGGTGCTGGCTGGCAGCAGGGTTTGATCCTGGCAGCCTCCCATGCAACAGGAGCCTGTCCTGCTGCCTCTGATCCCTGCCCTTTGGCACCCTTCTTGTCTTCCCTCTGTGCTGGGAGGCTCACGGCCAGCTCTGCCCCAGCACAGAGCCAGCCTGGGCCTGGGAGCCACTAACACTCTCTGTGCCAGGGCTGCTCCTCTCCTGCTGCTGGCTGCCCTGGGGCCAGGCTGCTGCTGCCGCCACATGGGTCCTTCTGCGCACCCACATCAGAGACGTGGCTCTGTCTTGGGCTGTGGGGCTGAGGGTCACGTCACTGCGGCTGGTGGCCTTGGGGCTGGTGACCCGGCCTCTCTGCTCATGCTTCCTGGCCTGGGAGTTGGGCAGCAGTTTTCTACAAGAGAGACTTGAGGGCTCTCTGGGTTTATGTGTGTGTGGGGTGGCAGTGTCCCTGTGTGGCTGCTGGGGTTTGCTTTGCCCACGCTGCTCAGCCCCCTGGCAGGGATGTGGCTGGGCTGGGGCTGCAGCAGCAGACCCTCTCCTGCTTTGCTTCCTGTCTGAAGCATGGAGGTGCAGAGGGTGAGGGAGGTGATACTTGGGCTGTGTCCTTGGCCCCGTGCAGCAGTGGAGTCCCCAGCAGCAGCGTTTGGCAGTGCCAAGGGTGATGGACAGCTGTAGGGTGGCTGTTTGGTACCGGGGATGGGTGACCCTTGGATCCAGGCCCTGGCAGCACTGTGCCAATCCCAGCAGTTCCGAGCCACGCTGGGATGGGCTGAGCAGCGGGGGCTGATGGTGGCTGTGCAGGGTCTGGGGCAAGGAGGTGGCTTTGGGGCAGAGGGGAGACCTCCCTCTTTGGGTGGCACCTGGTGCACGCTGCTGTGCCCTGAGCGGGTGGGGGGCTGCCGGCCCCGGGGCCGCCCTGCTGCTCTCAGTGCCGGTGCCTGCCCACCGTGCAGCCGATGCAGCAGGGCTGTGGGCTGACTGCTCGGGGCCGCCGCTGATTGGACCCCATCCCGCTCCGTCAGAGGCCAGGATGACGCACGCCGCGATGGGGAGTGCTGCGCTCGGAGCAGCCGCGCAGGCTGGGGATGAGCGGGGCCTGGCGCGGGCGCTTCCTCCTGCAGGCACAGCCCTGCGGGGCGGCTGGGGCTGGGGCTGATCCCCACGTGCACCTTCAGGAGCTGTGACTGCGAGGGGAGCACAGCCACAACTGCACCTCCGTGCTCAAGCTGCTCCCACATCCCCGCAGCCTTTGCGTGCCCAAAGCTCCCTGACCTCGTGGTCGAGTGGCAGCGCCCTGCTGTGCCCTGGGGGCTCTGACAGGTGCCCGGCGCTGGGACCTGGTGGGGCTGGGGTGGTGGAGTCCGTCCTGGGGACATCTTGCTGTGTTCTGCCTCTGTTGGTGCTGTGCCGTGCTGGGGTGACCCTGGGGCTGTGCCCACAATGGGGCTGGGTGGCAGCGGGCATTGCTGGCACTGGCACCCAGCCCCTGTGCTCCAGTAGCTGCCAGCAGCCCCGAGAAGGGAGCTTTGTTCCTCGGCCATTCAGCCCGGGAATGCTTCCCGTGCTCTGTGGGCACTGATGCTTCCCAGGCGGCCACAGGCGGGGGCCGCGCGCTGGGGCTCGGGGTGGGACATCCTGGGAAGGGGCTCTGCTTGCAGTGTGTCGGGCAGGGAGGGGAGTTCTTGGGGACTGAGGTGCTGAGGACACCTGGGGCTGCTGCATCTCCATGCATTGTCTCAGTGGATGTTTTGTGCTGATGGATGCCACCCTATGTCCGCAATCCGTCTTTGTCTCAAGTGGTCGCATACAGGGCAGAGCCGTGCAGGGTTGGATGTGTCCTAGCACAGCACCATTCCTCACTGCATGTTGCATGGGGACCACAATGCCAAGGGATGTCCTGTGCCTTGCAGGCCCTGCTCTGGGCCTTGGGCCATGTCCAGCCCAGCCTGGTCAGCGTGGAAAGCTGCCACTGCCCACCGGCTCCCAGCGAACACCCACTGCGCGCGTGCCGGCACGTTCCTGGGGGGTCTGTGGGCAGCGAGGGCTGATCACTGCAGAGATGGAGCCCAGTGCTGGGCTGGGGGAGGCTGCTGCAGTGCAGGTTGGGGTGTGGGGTGCAGCACTGGGTGCCCTCGCTCTGTGCCACACAGGTGCTGTGTGCGTGCAAGCAGCACCGACGCTCAACATCCTGTGATTTGCCCTGCTGCGTCCTGCTGTTATGTGGGGCTGGGGCATGGGAGGGAGCCCGTGCAGAGCTGCGCTATGGGGCTGCAGGCGGCCGAGCAGCCCCTCTCCATGCCAGGGCCTGCTGAGCTGTGCTGCCAGGCTGTGCTGAGTCAGCGCCGTGAGGTCAGTACAGTGTTATCGTGGTCGCTTGGCTCCCAGCCCCGTGTGCCCCAGGGCAGCGGGTGGGGGGCTGCCAGCAGGCAGGGGCCGGGGCGCTTTGAGGGCACAGCTCAGCTGTGCTTATGCAGCAGCTTTTGTGCAGAGTGGCGAGTTAAAGGCAGACACCGCAGTTCCTGCCCGTGCTGAGGAAGGGCTTTGGCAGATGGTGATGGGATGGTGAGGGACGCGCCAGTGACACACTGTGCCTGGGGATATGCAGGAGCCTCTGGGTTGGTTCTTTGAGCTCTGCAGAGACCTGGGGAGGCCCGGGGGCTGCTCCCAGAGCATGTGCTGCCGTCACCTCGGGGGCAGCTCCATCCTCGTGTCCCCACCTGGGCGTCCCCCTGCGTCCCTCCCTTTCCCTGCTCTGGTTTCTGGCCTGCTGAGGAGCTTGGCTGCGCTGCTGGGGTCTTGGCGGGGAAAGCACAGCGCAGCCGTCCCCTCCACAAAGCCGCACTGTTCAGAACAAATCCGCCTAGAATTGGGCTGCATTTTTGTCAAGTGATTCATCAGCACGTGAATGGAAACGGCTGGAGCCCACTGAACCAGCAGCCGTCCCCCACGCCTGCACTGCACCGCGGGCAGCGCTCGGCTCTCCGGCTGTGTGCGCCTTCATCGTGGCACAGAACAGAGCTGTGGGGCTCTGTGGGTCAATCCTCACCCATGGTGGCACAGGGAACGGGGGCTGAGCTGCTCCAGTTGGGGCTCATCTCCACCGTGGGTGGGTGGCAGGCACGGCAGCTTTGGCACGGCTCCGGGCACTCAGCCCTGACCTGCCTGCCTCAGTCCCTTCCCCATCCTCTTCTCCTTTCCAGAGTAAACTGAGTCAGCGCTGATGGGTGCCCACGTGGTGCAGTGCCACCGCTGACCTTCAGCCCAAACAGCTGCACTGCGTGCCCACCGCTCGCCCCTCTGTATTTATAGAGCGCAACCGGATCAGCTCCGTGCTGTGCCAGGTGACAGCAGGCAACGCGGCCCTGCACATGTCTCCACTGCACCCCTGCACCTCTCTGTGGGGACATGACTGCCATTCCCAGCTCTGGGCACAGGGGTGGCTGTGACCTGTGCAGCTGTGGGTCAGGGTGAGCCTCTCACCAGTGAGGTCAGTGCCACGTGCTGGGCACTCACGTGTGGCTCTGTGTCCTTGCGCTGCGCTGGAGGGGTGACACGGAGACCTTCCCATGGCACAGCTCCCTGCCCTCTGCTCACCCTGGCTCTGGGGCACTGTGGCTTCATCCCTTGCTGTGGTGCTGGGGGCAAAGCAATGCGTACAGGTTTGTCTGTGCCAGGGGCAGGGCTGTGTGTCCCTGCTGTGCACCTCTGGCAGTGTTGCTGCAGTGGTGGTTGGGCAGTGCCTGCATGCGTGCTCTGCCTATGCCCGCCTCGCCAACCAGGCTCACATCCCCATGCTGCAGGTGGGATGCAGTGCTTCCATCCCCTGCTCTCCTGATTGGGTGCTGCTGTGCAGGGGGAGCCACGTTTTGCACTGGTCTGGCCAGCACCCCGAGCTGCATCCCCAGGGGAACAGTGTGCAAGGAGAGCAGCTCCACGTGGCTGCAGAGCAGAGAGCTGTGGGGCCTGTGACCGTGCTGCTGCAGTGAGCTCACCCAGCCCCTCACCTTGCCAGGTTTTCTCACTGCCCCAGGCTTCAGTGTTCTACTGTGGCTGCCTGGGTTATTTTTGCAGGCTGCGAGAGCAGGAAGCAGCCCAGGGAGGATGCAGTTTTTGTGCCTGCATGATGTGGGGGGTCCACGTGCCAGTAGCCAGTGGCTGGCAGGGAGCTGTGGCCGGGCACCTCTGTGACTGTATGGTGCAAAGGCAGTGGGCACCGGGTGGGTCGGCACTGTGTTGGTTGCTGGGGGCTCCTTCCTCCTCCTACACCTGGAGGTGAAGCTGCAGTGAGCTCCTGCTGCCCTTGGGTCTCTCCATTGTGCTGGGCCATGCGGGCACTGGGCTGGGACATGGATTAATTAATAGTGGTGGACAAATAAGTGCTCCCAGGGTGCCATTGGTGGGGGGTGGCCATGCTGTCCCTCTGTGTGAGAGACACTTTCCTGAGGGCTGGGCTACCAGCTGGGGCAGAGCTGGGGCTGGGGGGGCTGTGCTCATGCCCATCTCCATGCCCTTCCCCTGCAGTGATCCGAGCAAAGGCCGTCTCTGCAAAGGAAGTGGATTCAGGGAACGACATTTATGGGAACCCCATCAAGCGAATCCAGTATGAAGTGAAGCAGATCAAGGTACAGGGCAGGCACTGTGGGGTGGACAGGGGGGTGGGAAGTGCTGCTCACACCTACACTCTCTCCTCAGATGTTTAAGGGCCCTGATCAGGACATCGAATTCATCTACACGGCGCCGTCCACAGCAGTGTGTGGGCAGCCTCTGGACACAGGAGGCAAGAAGGAGTACCTGATTGCAGGTAGGAGCGGGCATCCAAGGGGGGGTTGGACCCCTGCAGCCCCCTGGTGTGTGTGTGAGCAGCTCTGTGCGGCTCTCCCCAGGCAAATCCGAGGGCGATGGCAAGATGCACATCACGCTGTGTGACCTGGTTGCCACCTGGGACTCACTGAGCCCCACCCAGAAGAAGAGCCTCAACCAGCGGTACCAGATGGGCTGCGAGTGCAAGGTGAGTGCCCCGACCCAGGACCTGCACCTGGGGCATCCCTGTGGGTGAGGAGGGGGGGCTGCAGGGATAGGCACTGACCAGCTCTGTCCTGCGCAGATCTCACGCTGCCTCTCCATCCCGTGCTTCGTCTCCTCCTCGGATGAGTGCCTCTGGACAGATTGGGCGATGGAGAAGATCGTGGGCGGGCGGCAGGCCAAGCACTACGCCTGCATCAAGAGGAGCGACGGCTCATGCGCCTGGTACCGCGGCATGGCCCCCCCGAAGCAGGAGTTTCTCGACATCGAGGACCCCTAAGCCAAGCGAGTGCATTCCAGTAGCCAGTAGAAAAGCCCAGCGAGATGTTAGACTGGTCCACGCCGACATCGGGGCCTGGAGACAGCATGAAAACCCACACAGCCCCCAGGGGCCGCAGGGCACGGAGCTGCCATGTGTGCGTGGGGTGGGGGGGGGGCAGTGCGCCGCTCACACCCTGCACCACTGTGCACCCTGCACCAGGCAGGGCAGCCCCATTCCCTGCAGGCTGAATGCTGGTGAGCAGCAGCAGCTGTCCCTGATTTACAGGGGCCCCACTGCCAACTGGAGCTGCCCAGCAGCAGGGCCGTGCTGTCCCCATCCCATCCCTTGCTGTGGGTGCGGCTTGGCACCGGCTGCTCCCACCCAAGAAGCCGTGGGGCTCTCACCCACTATAGCCCTTAGGGGTGGGATGGGGGTCAACCCCTGGCCCCAGGGGGGATGGCTGCAGGACACCGACTCCACACCCCCTCTCTCTGAGCCATTTCCCCACACACACAGCTGGCCCCAGCTCGGGGTGTTTTCATGCTGTGCGTCCCCATAGGGTGACGATGTGGTGCTGGACCAGTCTGGGCAACTTTGACGTGTTAAAGGAAAAAGTGAAAGCAAAAGAAAGAAAAAACGAAACGGAAAAAAAGAAAAAAAAAAAAAAAAAAATCCCACCCACCCTCTAATCAGTCCCATATAGGACTCCCGTTCGCTTCTGTATGGTTATATCATATGTGACATTTACTCCTGTCTCTGCTGGTAGCCTGTCTCTGAGTTAATACCCCCACTGTTCTGCCATCAGCTCTATCATTCCCGTGCTGTGATTTTTTTTTGTTTGTTTGTTTTTTTGGTGTTTTTTTTTTTTGTTGGTTTGTTTTTTTTTTTTTTTGGTGGTTTTTATTT